TTCACATTATGAAAATGCAAAGATGTGCAAATAATTGGTAATTTCCACAAAAGACAGAGGTAAAATACAAATCAAAAATATGAATATATTTTCAGTTCCATAATTCCACACTCTAAAACAGCTCAGAGCAGCATAAAAACTCAAAGAAAAGCGATGCGATATCAGAAAGTAGGAGAAAACAAAACCTTTTCTAACTCCAGGAAGAGGCAAGAGTATAAAAGTAAAAAGTATCCTGACAAAAATAATTGTTTTAGATATGTAAAATATCAGTAACTAAGCAGACTGAAATAAAAATCCATTATAAAATAATTCCCATACTTTCCATTGTAAAAGTGAGGAACTTCAAGATTCCCAGCCTAAATAACCCTAAAATAATTAAATGACATTTTAAAAGGCAATGAAATATGCCCCAGCAACAACAATGTATTGTTAAGCTCTCAAAAAAACCACTTTCAATTAGTTACACAAAATGTATTGATTGAATCCAAATTATTTTTCTACCTTTTCGTTACTTCAAGCTCTATAGGACTATGGAATAATAAGAACTATAAGAAATTTTTATCTCAAAAGACAATGATAGTAGACATTACTATTTCTTTAAAAGGCCTTGAGGACTTTGCCTGCCACACAAAGGCATCTGTGAGGCATCCCACAAAAAGACATCCATTCCTATTCTCCCCCAACGCAAAATCGCCATGGCAGAGAAACTCTCTGCAGAGGCCCAAAAGCTTTCTGAGCCCAGTTGAGCTGACTCTCTGAAGGGGCAAGTCTGAGCCACTCCAGGTGATTCCCCTAAATCTTTGCATCCACACTCAAAGTACACCCCCAACCTTAAATACAGCCCAGCATGACTCTTCTTTTTCTTCTTCAATAGGATGGTAGGTAGCCCCAAAGAAGAAGTGATTAGTTTGTAGATATTTCCTCAAAGTATGTTATACGTGTGAGAGCGTGTGCACACGTATGTGTATGCAAGCTCATTTGGGAGTGGAGAGGCCACTGGAAGACACAAAATGAATCAGGATACAGGACAGGGGTCACACACTCAGAAGCTCTCAAGGACCAGAAATGGAATGTAATACATGAAACAACTACGTAGAAGCTAATAGGACTAACAGAGATTATGCAAAAAGGGAAGCACACATTCTACCAAAAGGCATTCAAACTCAACTCCAGAAAAACAGTGCTGGGCAAATAAAACACAGCTACAGCTAGACTCAGCAGCCAGGCCAGGTTCAACTGCCAGTTTTCAACCATGATAATGCAACAGGCCCAGTGAATCATTTTACATCCCATTTCCTTGGAGGGTCACAAGGAGCTCATCAAAAGCTCCAAGGAACATACCTCAGACCCTCCCAACTCTTGGAGGCTTCCCTAGGTCTTTGCCTAGGAACTTCAGCATACTGAAAAGTTTATTGGCCAAGGAATTAAATACTTACCACTTGAGCTTCCAGTAATAGAATACTGAGAGGTATCAAGGAATTTTCGAGGAGTAGGAAGGTTTGTAACATCAATCAGAGGAACAGGAGAAGCATCTTTCACAAGGGAGCTGCAGGGGAAAAGAAGCAGTTACCACTTTCTCCAAAACCAACTGAAGTCCCACTACATGCCTGGCCCTTATCACTGTCCTTTTTGTCATTAGCCTTCTTTATGCTGTGATTTCAAACATTTCCAATAATGTGGTGATTGTCACATGCAGGGGTATAAAGATATACTCTAAGGGCTCCAAGTATTTAAATTTTTATTTTGTCTTTTCATTTTGATGCTATGTTTTAAAAAATTAGTGTAAGTATAATCTGGATGACCGCCATATAATGAAATTATGCCAAGCAATTTCACTATCCTCCTTTGTATCTGTATTAAGAATTAATTTATTAGCAAAGAAAGATCAAATGACACCATGTCATGATAACTGAATTAACTTGTTATTTTTCAAGCTGAAGTTTTTAAAATA